ATGTCTGTTTCTTCATCTTCATTATCCAGTTTTGTACTTACAAGCACTATTCTAGCATTTATGTGAACTATGTGATTTATCAAGCTACTAAAATGGGCAAAATATCAGGGAGGCAGTCAAGTGACTAATGCCACAGTCTTGACCTGACTGGGGCGGCTAGAGAATGAAGAAAAGACAAACCACAGACACAGAAAAACTGGGATCCCGGAATCTGGTGATCTGATCCCAGAAGCTGTTTATGACACACAGTTAACAGGGTGGTGGGGTTATTGCATGCAGCTGAACAAGGAGGCTGGGTTAGCTAATCTTCATAGTAGCAGTCTTGGGGTCGCAAGCATCCAGGAGAAAATCATGATGGACATTTTCTCCACACACTGTCAGTATTCTCACTCAGACCCAAGGAGAGCTTTGCCATCCCTCTGAGCATCACCCAGTGAATGCTTTGCCACCACCATAAAGATGAGGCACTGGGGTCCCTGACATGGCCATCCCCATGTCAGCACACATTTGCTTAGGACTGTTCTCTCCCTACAGCTATGTATCAGGGAAAAGAGTGTCAACTTGTTATTTTTTATTTGTTTGTTGAGGGTGTGTGTTGTTTTGTTTAAAAACAGCTCCAGGGCTGGAAAGATGGTTTACCCGTTAAAGGCTAGGCTAACAACCAAAAATATAAAAACAATTCTGTGAGAAAGAACATTGGTGTATTAGTGAACAGAACATTACAATGAAAAAAAAAAAGGCTGTTGAAAGAGTTGTTCAACCTTTAGTTTAAAATTGATTGGACAGAGAAAAGCACTAACTTGTTGAAGAGGAATAGGAAAACCCAGCCTTTGCCTGTGAACAGCACAGCCGTAAAGTAGACAGACATTAGCTGTCATCATGTTAGGCCCTTCAGTAACTATTTATGCAAACTTGGACCAGACTCCAGCTTCTAAGTTCTAAGGTCCTTTGAACATGCCCTGGCCTTTTCCAGAGTGAGAAGGATGTTTGCACCCAAGCCAAAAGGAAAGCTTTTTGGTGCACTGCACCTAAGTGGTCCCACAGCACTCCAGTGTTGGAGACAGGCAGGCTGCAATCACAGTGGCTACTTTTGGATCCTTAGAGAACTGCATGTTCTTCAAAGAAGCTACCATGTTTGCACTGTCCTTGCCCTCAGTACACAATGCATATAAGGAGGAAATGTCTCCAGTACCCAAAACAGAGGAGGATTTTCTTATTTAATGCACAAGTTCCTGAACTCAAGCCCTGAAGGGAGCACAGCCCCTTCAGATTTCGGAGTTTGCATCCCCCTCACTTCTCTTGCGCTCTTTGCAGTCTTCCATTCTGTCAGGCATCAGCACCGAGCCACCTTGGCTCTTGACCCTTCTGGACTCACTCCTATCACACCTTCGTTTCTATGTGACCTCATCTTCCATGTGGTCCATGCGGCCTGCAGTGGTATAGCTGTCATCGGCAGTTCCAGGCATGGGCTGTTCACAAGCGCAGCAGTGCCGCCGGGTGGGAGAGGAAGTTAGGCTACGAAGCCCAGAGAAGGATGGTGTGGGGAAGGCCACTTGACCTGGGCCCGAAGGACTTGAAGTTGGGTCAAGAAAGTGAAGTCACGCTTGTTTGCCGGCACTGACACAGGATCTCTTTTTATGGAGGAGGGCATTTGTGGAGGGACTCAGATGGATAGGTATGTGCATCAAACTGTCAAGCTGGGAATGCCAGCCTAGGACTGGTAGGACTAGCGAGTGACTAGCATTGGGCAGTCATGTGTTAAGAGATTGCCTTACAAAGCAGTGCAAAGAGAGATGATGAGAGGGCTCTCCTTGTGACTCTGGGCAGGGCTCTGTCTGACAGCCATGGGCATGAGATTTCTGGCCACACTATCCTGCTGCAGTTACAGCCTCTATCAGGGCCAGGGCTAGGAGTACTACAGTGTGGACTGGGAAAACCTTCCTTTTCCATGTCTATGTGGTGGCTTCATAGAGTCTAGATATGTGGGGTTGAGCACATGACCTTTCTCTGTGACCCCAAAAGGAAGAAAGACAAGGCAGACTCCACCCTAGTAAGTGCCTTCTTTCTTTTCTGTCTCATTCCAGCTTTCAAAGCTACATGGCTAGCTAGGTTCAGAAGTCGTAGTTGAGTGAAAAGCAGTAGAAAGGCTCCTTGGGGCTAGGTGGAGGCTAGGTTATACAGTTAATGCAGAGCACTGTATAATGAAACCTATACTTTATCCTCTTTAATCCTCGTGGACATTTTCACTAAAACCCTAAGAGAAGAGGTCTGTGAAATCATGCCACCCCACAGGCTGCTTTGTCTTTAGAATTAACAACTCAGTATTTTCATCATTGGTCATATACATCTCATACATTGCTTTTTTCTTTTGCCCCTTGAACCTTCCTGCCCTTGCAAACTATGAAAAGCAAGAGCTATGTGCCTCCTGGGACATGCTGTTCACTCCAAGGTTGGGTTCCTGCGCAGTCCATTATTCCTCATGCTGTGCACCTGTACCGCCTTGTGAGAGAGGCTGTGAAAATCAAAGGCACTGCACTTAGCTCTTTTTGTAAGGATGAGCTGGCTAGTGCCCAGTGCCCCTTCCTCTGTTGCCAAGGGGCATCCTCCCAGTATTCAAGACCAAATCAATCATAAATGGTACCCACTCCCCCGGAGCTTCAGCAGAAGGAGTTCTTGAGCAGGCTCAGCAAGAGCAGTAGAGCTAGGCAGGTCATCTCTGGGACCCAGTGCTGGGCTCAGGAGAACTTGTCCTGGCAGCCCTCCTGGAGGCTTGCTATAGGACTCTCCACAAATCCCACTGGAACCTGGGGGCTCAGCTCACACTTGAATTTGATCACAGAAACTGGAGGCACCTCGTGCTCCCTATGTCAGCCCAGGGTTTAGCTTCTTGCCTTGAAGGAATGCAGAGCCAAAAGACCCAGTACAGGCTGTTTCCTCGGAGCCCAGGAGCCCCTTCTGGAGAACTGGAAGGACAGAGGTGACTCTAACACCATATCCTATATCAAAGGGCTCTCCCCACCTTTAGACAGCACTCTTTAAAAGCCTCAGGCTAGGGGCTGGAGAGATGGCTCAATGGTTAAGAGCACTGACTGCTCTTCCAGAGGATCCAGGTTCAATTCCCAGCACCCACATGGCAGCTCACAACTGTCTGAAGATCCAGTTGCAGGGGATATGACACCTTCACACCAGTGCACATAAAATAAAGTTAAATAATAAAACCATAAAAAATATTACAAAAAAAAAAGGCTTCAGGCTAGCTTGTTAGAACTTCTACCCAGAGGGCACTGCTCCCACCTCCACCCACAGGAGAATCTCTCTTTTCTGTCCTTTCAGTTCTTGGGGCCACTTTTCTCCAGTCTTAAACTTCTTCAGTAAAGTCCTTACATCTCAGAGAATATAAATTCCAGGTATTAAAAATTTGAACCAGGCACATTGGCACATGCTTACAATCCCAGCACTCAGGAAGCTGAAGCTTCTGATCCTAAGTACTTCACAGCAAATCTGTCTCAGATAGATAGATAGATAGATAGATAGATAGATAGATAGATAGATAGATAGATAGAGAAAAGATTTGCTGCTGGCTGTGTTAACAAGTAAAAGCCATGTAGACAATAAAATATGTTGGGCAATTTATGTGAAAGAGAAATGTATGCAGTGAAATAAATACTTGCATTGGTCATGAAGTAATGCTTCATCAGTGTTTTTCTAAAACTGCTTAATTTGGCTGGGTGTGGTGGTACATTCCTTTAATCCAGCACCAGGGAAGTGGAGCTTTGTGACTTTGAGGCCAATCTGGTCTGCTTAAGTTCTAGACAAACTACAGCTGCTTGATAGTAGAATAAATAGTGGAAAAAAAGAAATGGAAAAAACTAAATAAATTAATCATTTAAATTATTTATGGGGACAGATAGATGGCTTAGAGAATAAAGGGTGCTTGCCACCAAACCTTTCCACCACACAGTGTAAAGAGAGAGCAGTCCTCTGGCCTCTGCACATGTGTTCACGCATGTGTACACACACACACACACACACACAATGTAAGAGCAGCAGCTGGTTGAGAAAGAAGCTGTGGGCTCTGTGTGGTTTTGCTGATGAGTATAAGAGGTGACTTGACTCTCCATCGGCATCTTCATGTGCAAATATGCTGGCTTAATTTCTTGAGAAACCATTAGTGTTTCTATCTCCAAACTAGCTTGAAAGCGTCACGCTGGGTAAGCACACTTACAAATGCTGAGGAAGAAGTAATGTATTTTTGGTCAGGCAGTGTGATGCACACCTTTAAACTTAACACTAGGGAAGTAGGTCTCTGTGAGTTCAAGACTGGTACAGCGAACATAGTTCCAGGCTGTACAGTGATACTGTATCTGTAAAACAAACAAAAGCTAGATTTTTATCTTCGGGTTGTTACCTTGTTTTATACATAGTTGTGCAGATGTGCTTATAATGAAACATGGAGAAAGAGTGCACCAAAGAGCAGTGGTGGTCCAGGTATTGCTGACTCAGGAGTGTGTATATGTGCATGTACATCATTGTAGTGGTGCTCTGGATATGCTTAGGGGCAACCAAGTAACTGTGAATGCTTAAAACAATGAATCTCTCAATAAATTGAGTTTAGAAAATACTAAAGTGAAGGCTGCATTTGTGTTGAACTTGTATCTTAAGTATTTGGTTATGAATGAATATTTTGGGTAGAAATTTATTACAGTAGGTCAGATAACAGCCTTGTCATCTAGATCCTGATCACTGTATTTTTAAACCTAAGAAGTTACTTCAGCAGGTATTTTTATTACTGTTCTCTTCTGCCTGCTGACCTGAGAGTTGGCATAGTGAAAACAGTCAGTAGGTGCCATGAGTCATTTGCATATAAATCCTGACCAGTCCAACTCAGGCTTTAAAAATCAGAAGCACACAGAAGATGGGTTGACTTAAGAAATGAGCCAGTTGACCAGTTGTATCATCAGTAATTCACTGCTTGTTTTTCTGATTTTCTTTTTCCCCAGAACCGAATGGAGGAGAGCAAAGCACTCTTTAGAACAATTATCACGTATCCCTGGTTCCAGAACTCCTCTGTTATTCTGTTCTTAAACAAGAAAGATCTTCTAGAGGAGAAAATTATGTATTCCCACCTAGTCGACTACTTCCCAGAATATGATGGTAAGTGGGCACCCTATGCCAGCCCCACAGCTGAGAAAGACTTACTGTTAACACTAGTGAAGTGCCCAGAGCCATGGGGCCTCCAGGGGCTTGAAGCAGCATGGTGCAGTGCCTGAAACCACAGCTTCCATGGTGGCAAGCATGCTAAAGCACAAGTTATTGTCCCTTGACTTGTAATGACATAAAACATTTTATCCCTAATGTTTAAAAGTTTGGGGGAAGCAACCATTTCAGAGAATAAATAATTCAGTAGTTTTTCCTATTAGCTACTGTAGTTTCCAGTTTCCCTCCCTTTTATTTTGTTACCTGTCCCTGCCTCTCTTGTAGGGAGCTCACCTCTGAAGTCTGTATACTGTATTGGTTACTTTCTGTTGTAACCATGACCAAGAACTTAGAGACGGTGGAGTCAATCCATCCTTATGCGGAAGCATGGCAGCAGGCTTCAGGCATGATGGCTAGAGAGGAGAAACTGAGAGCACATCTTTTTTTTTTTTTAACTTGAACTATTTATTTATTAAAGATTTCTGTCCCCCACTGCCACCTCCCATTTTCCTCCCCCTCCCCTCCCCCAATCAGGTCCCCCTCCCTCATCAGCCCCAAGAGTAATCAGGGTTCCCTGCCCTGTGGGAAGTCCAAGGACCTCCCATCTCCATCCAGGTCTAGTAAGGTGAGCATTCAAACTGCCTAGGCTCCCACAAACATCTTTAAAGCACATGCCAAAGCCTTCTCCATTCATAAGGACTGATGGAGTCATGGGTATATGACTTGGCATAGCACCTAACCCATAGTAGGGCCACATCCCAAAGTCTCACAGGGTAAATGTAGCAGCAGAAGTGACTACTACAAAATGACATCATCGACAAAGGAAAATGAGGCATCTTCACCACAGTGGCTTTGTCCCTCCAAAAGCTCTCTAAGAAGGGTACCTCCTTGAAGAGTAAAGATCCCTTTGGCTTTCTTTGAAAGGTTAGGTGCCTTTTTGCCCTGCATGCTTTAGGTGCAGTGGTGGCTCAAGGAAGGGAAATGTGGCGTGCTCACCAGCTTGTTTGCATCTCAAATGCATGTGTATGATAGGGCATACAGCTAACTGTTTAAAGACAGGGACTTTTTTTTTTTTGTTAACAGCGTGTTCATATCTCTCGAAGTATCTTTTCCTGTTTGCCTGGCTATTTTAAAAGAGCAAATACTGTCTTAACCCAGACAGCATTTTCTCTTTGCTCTTTCTATTTTCTCACTAACCCAGAAGCAATGGTAAATACTTAAGATTGCCTCAGTGTTCCTGAGGAAGCTGTGGAAAGAAATGACTGTATGTGGTGTACCTGATCCCCTCAATAGCAGACCACCCCTGTAAGCACATGGTCTGAGAACAGGAGAGAGCCACCTGCCTCAGTATAAACATGAATACGTGCTCGTACCCAGAAGGCAGGCTGAAATTTCTCTCCAAAGTTGGTGAGAGTCGGACAGTGGGGAGAAGATGGCTGCACCATATGCAGTAGTGGGCCCGTTTTCCTGCTTGGGTACAGACAGATAGCAGTGTGCAGCCTCAGTAGAAGCTCCCTGAGCCCAGCTGCCCATCTGCAGCCACGTGCTAGCTGACTGCACTGAGTTCCAGGTTTTCTGAAGTGAGTTTTTGTGAGAATGCCACTTTCATCTTCCTGATCCTCGTCACTACAAGTGATTTCTTTCCAAAAGCAGCTTACTGTAAATGTTTTGGAATTTGAAGATGATTTTAACTGTTGTCCTTCTGTAATGGACACATAATGTCCAGAGAAAATGTGACCACAAATAAGTTTAAAAAAAAAGCAATGGTTTTGTTGATCTCAAGAAAACAAAGTTGTTTCATGAGATCCAAAGCCCTTCAAAGATTAGCTAAGGCTGAAAAAACTCTTGAACACACTACAGTGATGTTTAGTAATATGCTTATTTAGATGTTATCAGCTTCCAGCTGCACATGTCTTCCTTGTGAGGTCTTCATCAGATGACTTCCATCTCTGTGTTTCTCTTCAGGAAGAGAAATGACTGTTTCCACATGGGCTTGTACTGCAGAATTGGTCCTAGAGACTTTGCAGTTCTGTGCCTGCTGTGATGGCTGTACCAATTTCTTTGTAGTCCTGTGTGCTCCAGTAAAATAATTTATGCTTAAAACACAGCACACTGCAAGTGCACTTCAGTGACCTCAAGTCTATTGCTGATATTGTACAGAACTAACACAACAGAAAAGGTTGGAGTCTTCCTTCCCAGAGTAAGAATATTAGTTAGGGAAATGGCAGCCTTCTCACACCCTGCCAGTCTCTTAGTCTCTGTTTTAACTGTTTGGTGCTGCTGTGAACGAGTAAGTTCACAGTACATTGCTGAGGACGAAAGACTATTTCACATACGTCACATATAAATAATGGCACACTTAATTTTTCATGTTGGCAGCCTTCCTTAGTCACCAGAACTTCAAAGCACCCCTGCTTCTCCTTGTACTAATGGGAGTCTCAACGTCTTAGCTCTCTCCTGCAGCTCCAGGCAGTGTGGGATGTGGGTACGAGCCTAAATCTGAAAGTTTTCAAGTTTTCCACCTAAGAACCGGGATGAAGATCCTTAGAGTTGGTTAGGCCTTAGCAGTGTTTGTTATGTAGAACAAACCCACATTGTGAATCCCAGGAGGTTTTGCCAAGGAGAATAGAAGTGATATTCCTTTTACTGATAGAGAGCTAACTTGCCACAGTGGAGAGAAACAGATAGGCAGTACCACAGTGCACAGGATACCTGCTCAGCACCTGAAAGGTGATGGTGTTTTGATGTTAGTAATTTAGAAGTTTAAAACTCACATTTCCCAGAATCTGTTTCAGTGTTAAACTGCTTGATTGATACATGATTTGGTTGATCCTGCACACAGTTAGTTTTTAAATGTGATAAAATATCATATAGAACATTTAAATTATAATTTCAATATGTAATCACAACATAAATTACATGTATGAAACTGCAGCTCTTGCCAGTGCATCCACCACTCTAGCTAATCAGTGATCCCCATTGCCTGCGCTCTCCCCTCCCCAATCACATGCCATCCCTTTACTTTTCTGTCTCTGGCCTGTATGTAAGTCAAGTCAGTATTTTTCTGTGTCCAGCATGTTGATTTCAGGGTATATTTTAAAGTTCTATGCATGTTATACCATTTGTCAGAACTTCATTTACCACTTTAGGCTTATCCAGTTGAGTCGAGTCACTTCTGTTTACTTTTGCGACTAATGATCGTGTGCATTCACCTATGCAATGCCCTCCTTTCCATTCATTTGGAACATGTCCGCCTGTTATATGAATTGCTAGGCTATATGGCAATTATTGAACTATTTTCCATAGTGGCGCTACCATTTTGCCTGCCTACCAATGGTAGACATACAGGTGTGGACTTCACCTGTTACCAAAGTTTATTTTATCACTTTTTAAGTGACATCCAGGCTAGTAGCTGGTGATTTCACTTGGCATTCGCTAAATGAGTATCAGAGTTAAGCATCCTGTTTTCTCATTGCTTATTTGTTACCTTCTTTTGCAAAACTGTCTTTTCAAGTCTTTTGTCCAGTTTTAATCAGGTTGTTTACTTTTTGTTGATACATATGAGATACTTATATGTCCTAGGTGCTAAATTCATATCAGGTATATGAATTATATATTTTTTTTCATTTGATAATGTGATTTAATAGCAAAAGATTTTTTTAATTTTTATTTATTTTTATTTTATATGCATTGGTGTTTTGCCTGTGTGTATGTCTACATGAAAAACGTCACATTCCCCTGGAACTGGAGTTGTAGACAGTTGCTAACTGCCATGTGGGTTGCTGGGAATTGAACCCTGATCCTCTAGAAGAACAGCCAGTGCTCTTAACAACTAAGCAATCTTTCCAGCCCCGCAAAAGCTTTTTTTTTTTTTTTAAATTTTGACAAAGTCCTGTTTATTTCTCCTTTTACTGCTTCTGCATTGGGGTTGTATCTAAAAATCGACTACAAAATTATTATGCAAGTGTGATGGCTTTTTTTTTTGTCAGTTTAACATATGCTAGGGACATCTTGAAAAAGGGACCCTTAATTGAGAAAATACCTCCATCAGATTGACCTGTAAGCAAATTCAGAGGGCATTTTCCTGATTGATCTAGGGCCCAGCATGCCACAGATGCCGCCATTGCCAGGCAGGCAGTCCTTGGTTGTACGGGAGAGCAGCTAAGCCAGCCATGATGAATAGGATAGTAAGCAGCCCTCCTCCATGGCCTCTGCTTCAGGTCCTGCCTCCAGGTTCCCTCCTGAAATTCCTGCCCAGACTTTTCTTCATAACAGACTACAAGCTGAACTACACCTTCCCTCCCCAGATTGCTGTGGTCTGTTTATCACTGTAATAAAAAGCAACAAGGACAAAAAAAAAAGTTTGCATTTCATTTCTGTTGATGTAATAAAATACCCTAACAAAAAGCAACTTAGGGGAGGAAAAAGGTTATGCGGCTTACAAGTCCTAGAGTACAGTCCATCTTTGGGGGGAAATCAAAGCAGGAATGCAAGCAGGTAGTCATGCCACATTTATAGGCAAGAGCAAAGAGAATAAATGCATCTAGTTTTTTGTTACCATGTAGTTCAGGACCCCACACCTGGGGATTGGTGCCCCCACCTCTGGGCTGAGTCTCCATGCATCAATTAACAATGCTCCACAGACATCCTGCAGACTGACCTGATCTAGATAATCTCTCAACTGAGACCCCCTTCTCGGGTGATCCTAGACTGTGGCAGCTTGACATTGAAAACTAACCACCACAGGTTTCTAAGTTATCTAAATAAAACCATCAGGGGGCAATGGATGAGGTATAGGAAATATGTAAGTATAAGAAAGTGCAAACCAATGCATACAGATAAGGCATACACAATGTGTGCCGACTGAGCAGAAGAACAAATGTGTAATGGATCACATAACAAACTCTTGGCTTCTTCTCTCTTGGCAGGACCCCAGAGAGATGCCCAGGCAGCTCGAGAGTTCATCCTGAAGATGTTCGTGGACCTGAACCCCGACAGTGACAAAATTATCTATTCCCACTTCACCTGCGCCACAGACACCGAGAACATCCGCTTCGTCTTTGCCGCCGTCAAGGACACCATCCTGCAGCTGAACCTGAAGGAGTACAATCTGGTCTAACCGTGCCTCCCAGAAACCGTTCTTCCCTTCCCTGTGGGCTGTTGAAGATAACCAAGAAGGACTGTATTTCTGTGGAAAACAATTTGCATAATACTAATTTATTGCCGTCCTGGACTCTGTGAGTGTGTCCACAGAGCTGTAGTAAATATTATGATTTTATTTAAACTATTCAGAGGAAACAGAATGCTGAAGTACAGTCCCAGCACATTTCCTCTCTCTTTTTTTTTTTTGAGGCAAAACTTGTGACTCGGTGTATTTTAAATTTTCAGTCACTCATTCACAATATGAAAGCACTCCTACCGTTTGTGTTCTCTCTCTCTCTTTCTCTCTCTCTCTCTCTCTCTCTCTCTCTCTCTCTCTCTCTCTCCCTCCCTCCCTCCCTCCCTCCATTCCTTTCCATCTCCCTCCTCCCTTCTTTTCTGTTGACCAAAACAAAGCTGATTTTTCTTCTTCCTGTTCCATACCCCCCTACCGATTTTGTTTTCTCATCTTAACAATGGACTTTACCCTTGTTCCATTCTTCTTGAGTGATGCAGTCAGGACAGTGTCATTCGATTGAAGTCACCTTACATCAGCTTCATTTAACAGTGGTTGTACTGAAGGCATGTATGAATTACTAATCTGGTTCTATGTGTCTCTGGATGCACATCACATCTAGTATTTCTTTTTCAGTGCATACATGTATGTGTGTATATATATTGTCTTGTCTCACTTGGACTAGAACAGCAGGTGCCCATTGATGGTCAAGAATCTTATATTTTGGGTACAGAACTTCAGCCATAGCTGGGTTGTTCAGAGGAATGTCTGGAAGTCAGAGTGTGTGCTTACAGGCTGTGAAGGAGTCCTTGCTACTGCAGTCCATGTGCCATGTCCTTCTTCTCTTTCTTGCTTCCTTTTGTTTCTCTTTAGGTTTTCACCCTCTCTGTAAACCACAGATGCCAAATGATATGCCAACAGACACTACATTCCCCAGCGCTGCTGCCAGAACCGCCTCGGGTCTATTCATTTTCTGTTTGTTTCCCAGCTCTCCTTCCCTCCGGTCCCTTTTGTGTTTGGGCCATAATTTTAAAATAATTTTTGCTATGGGTATGTTTTGCCAAAGCCGGATTTTTATAAGACAAAATAAATCAAGAATTTAAACAGTAAAAGCCAGCGTCTCAACATGTAAGCGTTAAGACAGTACAGCAAGGTTGACAGCTGGGTGTGAACCGGAAACACACATTGCCAAATAGTTGCTAACTGAACCGCTTCTCATGGTCCGTTCTTTCTTTGCCCTTACAAAGTCAGTGCCAGTGTCCAGATGAACAGTATAGAAAACTACCCTATGTGGTTTGTCATGAGAGCTGTTCATATCTCTTTACTGGCACCAGTGTTATTAGCTCTTTATGTTCTTTAAGTTTGAGTGAGTTTGCCAAGAACACTGGTTGATAGCATTATCCTATAACTTTGATTTGGGGGAAAAGTGAGCTTGTTTTACCATGTTCAGGGTCTTCTTGAACTGGTCACTTGGACTTAAGGAAGATTTGTGGATTTTTTTTTTTTTTTCAAAAGTCACCGCTCAGTGTTCTGTCAAGCATGTATTTATGTAACGATTACACTAGGAGAAATGTTTGGAATTCTCCATGTGCAGTTTGTCAGCAGATGCAAACAGTGCTGAACATGTGTGAGTAAGCCTGTCACGCAGCCCACATTGCTATGTGAGTTCAGTAGAAGGTGATTGCTCTAAGGCTGCCGGGAAGTTAGACCACAATGCTGGTCTCATTAGTGCCTGGCCCTAGTCTAAACTCCCATTATCAATCACTTTTCTTGAATAACGAAGGGGAGAGAGAGTGAGCAGCTTACTGTATGAGCACTGAAATTGCTGACTCGTAATGAAGTGTTTTACTCTCCCAGCCCCAAACAACACAGCTTACTTTTTTATCCCTTGCTCTAGAAAGCACCTGTAATTTAATTAACAGACTGCCTGTAGGTATAGTGCAATTATGAATGTTCTGATTGTTGTACATACATCTCTCTTGATATTGCAGCATCCATACTGGCTTTGTAATCATTAATTTTTGGCAGATTGAATGTGCTGTATTGATATGTATCTATGTAATTGTATTGTATGTCTTGTAGCTAATTCACATTTTGAATAATGTTATTTTATTTACTTTTTTAAGAGAGGAGAATGTAAATTTGTCAGTTTATTTCTGACTAGGGATATTTTTTTCCATTTAGAAAAGAAGAAGAAAAAAACCCTTATTATCGTACAGAGCGGTACTAGCATTGTGCTGTCTAAAATCATTTGCACATTCCTGAGTAGAGGTGTGCTGACCTAAGACCCAAAGGTGATTTCATAGCAAATACACAACATCCGTCGGAGCTTTTATACAAACACGGAGACCAACTTTGTAGACCTTTTGCCATTTGACCTGGGGTTGGAATATGAGCTTTTATACGATTCATATTCTTATTTGGCAAATGCACAGTTTAGCATTACCTCTCTGGTGGCCTTTATTAGAAAGGCAGTTTTAGAAGCTATTGTGATCCACTAGGGAAATGTTTTATCAGCTAGAGAACACTGCTTGCCTAAAAGAGGGCAACCTTAAATTTGGTGCAGCAAAAAACAAAAACAAAAAACAAAAAAAAAAAAACAACAAAAACAAAACAAAAAAAGAAAAAAGAAAAAGCCAAAAAAAAAAAAAAAGTAACATTTGATGGCCTACAGTGTATAGAGAAAACCTCATCACAGGATCGTGAGTGTTAACAGTCCTAGGGAACCGTGCTATTCTATTTAACAGAGCCGTAGTAGATGTAGTTGAGTCATCCTGGTCTCAAGCTCAGAGCTGCTGAGCAAAGCAGGGAAGGTCGCCACGTTGTCTTTGTGAATCGGGGATGGAACTTGCTATGCAGAATTGAAGTTTGTGGCTTCGCTGCTCATCCTGGGGTGCATGACAGGATCCCTTCTCTTGAGAAAGGAAAACATTGATCACCCTAACCGCAGTGATGCCTCGACACCTAATTGTATCCACACTAGTCAATGAAGCTAAAAATAATTTTTGTTGTTGTTTCTTGTTTGGGGTTTTATTGAAGGGGTGAGGGGCGGGAAGGGCTTCTCAGTTTTGTACAAAACCAAGTTTACTCATGCTCTCTCCTCTTGTGATTGCAAGCGCTCTAAGCTGCGGCACTGACTCCTGGCGTTGATGCTCTAGATAACAGAGGTTTGTGGGGAGATTATGGCGACTCGGGCATGTCTTTCCGCAGCATACCAAGGCAAGCAGCCATCTCGTCAGCCACTCAGCACATCACAGTGTGCCGTTTACAGATGATGTCTCCCACCCACAGAGAATCCCTGTTTGTAAATTGAAGGTTTATAATATGCCTTACAGAGCTTAATTCAGAAGTCTGTGCCTCATACCTGAAACAAAGGGAAGAAACAGGCCCATGCGAAAGTCAGTAAGTCCCATAGAACCCGTTGGGTTTTCCTTACCATTTCCTTCGGAAAAGCTCTGTTGAGTGTCCTGAGTAGCTGGGAAATTCTTAGGAACCTGCATATGTTGTTTACCGGCAGGTGGCACAGGCGATATTTAAAGAGTACCTGGAACATGGGGGCTTGGGGGTTTTGTTTTTGTTTTGTTTTGTTTAATTTAGATTACATTAGCAGGCCTAATAGTTTTAAAAGGTAATTCAGCCAAAGGGCAATTTACTTTTTGTACTTCAGACTTATATTGATTGTCAAGTTGTACCAATTGTAATTTAAAAATTTATACTGCCACTTGATTGTAAATTTTAGTTGTCTTAAGTGGGAATTGATGAAAAGCTGTTTATGCTGGATTTGGGTCAAAATGACTTGATTATTTGCAAAAAAAATAAAAATACTAATGGGAAGAAAGGGCTGCACAATAAGATACTGCAAGACTCAGGTCTTGGTTGGAAATTCCTCAGATCCCCTCAGATGACCCCATGCCCCTTTGTTTTCAGTTTCTCAAAGAGCGAATGAAGTGAAATATAGCAGAATGTTAACCCATATAAAAATAAAGTGTACCCAAATATTGTAATGTATATTGCTCCTCTTCTTAAAATTAAATAATGGTATCAAGCCACTCAAGTGGTAATTAACAGCATCTCAGTTGATACAAATCAGGTGTGCCTGGGCGTACTTTCATATTTTATTCCAAAGAGAAATCTTTGGTTAGAAACGCATAAAAAATGGAAGCGAATAATGTGTGTTTATCCGTCCTTGCACACGTCCAGCATATACAGCGTTACTAGATGTCCTGGTACTTGTATCTTTGGGATTCCATTTGGGTTCTAGACAATTAAGAGAAATAAATGGCTTGGTTGTGTGTGATGCCGCAGAGGTTTGGGGAGCCAAACACCCGCCATCCCACAGATAGCTTACTGATCCTCTGTCTTTCTCAAAATAATGCTGTCTCTGCCATCTCCCCAAAGCCACTGCCCTTCCATAACATCCTTCTAGAATCGTCTGTCTGTTCAGAGTATGCATACACACCTGGTGCACAGTATGTGCTCAGAGACTATGTCCTCCCACCCTCTCCTATCTGCCATGGAGCCTCCGTCACCATAAAATTTGATTACATGCTACAAAAACAGCTCTTTTTAAAATTTGGATCTTACTTAAAGGAATTCTAGCTTTCATACAAGCTTTGATAGGAAGAAAATACAGGGGGAAAGATTGTTCAGTAAGCTATTTTTAGGGTTAGGAAGGAAAGTGGAAAAAACTCAAGTTTGTCTGGGTCACTTTCACTAAAACCCATTTCTGGCGGATTTCCTCGACAGACTATTTGCAGCCTCTGGCCAGACTCCGCATCCACCCTCGTGTTGGAAGCCCTGACTAGGTCTGTGTACTTAGAGAGTTTTGTCAAAAGCATTTTTAACTTGCAGTATTTAAAAAAAATCATATTTACTGTTCTTAAAATGTCATTCAAATGCATGTATTGTCTATTGTTTGGGGATGGGAACTAGTTTTGCAAAAAACACCTAATGTTGTATAATAATGCCCCAATGATCTTACTGGTTAAAAATACAGTATTTTTGGCCATAATTTTGTACTTCAGTATTCTTCATTCTGAGTTTTGCTTCCCCTGAAGTTGCCTAAGCCCCTCTGAGAATGCTGCTTATTATAGAAAGAATTGGAACACATCTTTACTTCCTTAACAAACCTCATAGGTCCCATGTGTCTTTCCAGAGTATGCAGATTTAATGGTTCTGAAAGCACACACACAGCCCTTTCCCATCTGTACCGTCAGAAATGTCAGTCCCTATAGTGCGTGTATGTACTACTAGAACTTACCAGTTGTGTTCTAAAGCCGGCCCTTGGTTAATTGTAATCCGTTGTTTGAGAACATGAGTAGCCGTTCAGTACAGGTTTCTGCAGAGAGGCTCAGCCTCACCCTGACAGGCATGCAACCCTCACCCCTTGCCCGAGATTGTTAGGCAGCACAGAATATCAGCCAGTGCAGAGTCCTGGCATGAGAGTTCTGTATCTGAATGCTGCTAGTAAGCCGGTCTCCAGATGGGAAAAGGACCTAGTCCAGATACCCTTTGTGTCTGTGACACTGGAGACCACACACATCTGAGGTTTTTTTAATTGTTCAAGAAAAGTGATCTAGATAGTCAACCTTGTTTTCCTTCCATGTTGAGGGAATTGGTACCAACCCCATGATACTAACTAGTTACTTATACATTGGCATCCCTTTGTTTCATTGTTGTGGTTAACTTAAAAAAGGAAAAAAAAAATGGTATTGGCTCCAACTGCTAGAAAAACTGAGCCCAGGCCATTTTAACAGACCCCTGTTCCCAAGCGGTTCCTGAAAAACTAGGTCCTCGGTTTAAACTGGGCTTTTGTTGCTATTTTGGTTTGGTTTATGGGTTTTTTGTTTTTGGTTTTTCAAAACAGGGTTTCTCTGTGGTTTTGGAACCTGTCCTGGAACTAGCTCTGTAGACCAGGCTGGGCTCAAACTCACAGAGATCCGCCTGCCTCTGCCTCCTAAGTGCTGGGATTGATGGTGTGTGCCACCACTGCTCTGCTAAACTGGGTTTTTAAAATCCATGTTGCCTAGGAAAAACTGAACAGGTGTTTTCTGTTCAGTTCTCCTGCCTCAACACTATTGAAACATGATCTGTGTTCATATCCTCTCTTCCTGTTTTCCTCACGAGTGCAGTTCAAAGGCTAGAATATCATTCTGCCTTGTAAACCTGAGGATGAAAATCAAATCAATCTCTTTAATTGAGAAGGTAATTCCATTGAGCATGTTAACAGAAGTGAGTAGCCTCTTCTGTCCCTGCTTTGATGTCCCCTGCAGTTCTGTATGGGTCTTTGTAATGTAGTGGACAGAACCTGACCAGAGGTGAAATTGTGACTACCTGTCCAGTTAGCCCAGATGTGTGTATGATGTATCTTTAAAGTATCTTCGGAAGTGAAGGACTAGTAGAAGATGCAGGGGAAAGTGAGATTTGAACAACTCTTGCTCTCTGCAAATGGGGCCTCCACACTATGCCCTGCGCTGGCAGCCAGGAAGCAAACACATCTAATATGTTGTCCTCATGAGATCCAGTTAGGGGCATACCAGAGGTGCAGGGCTTGTCGGGGCTGGAGTATCCGTGGTTATTCTGGAACCATAGCTACCATAACAAAAGTGGCCTGCTTTCTTTTTGTGAGTTGTAGGAGGCCCCTTTTCTGGGATATTCTAGTGAACAGTTAACAACAGAGACAGAACAACTGAGTTGTGCTGATTTTCATTGTATAAATATTCAGCCACATCCAATTTTACCTACCAGTGTGACAGGGACGCTAACTGTTGACTCTCTTGGGCTGCACCTGTCTGCTGCTCTCACGCCCTTTAGCCAGAGCCTTTCTGTGCACCTGAAGAAGGCCCATAGGCCAGGCTACCTGGCTCCCTCTTTTTATCGCTTCCTGTCAGGGCACTAATTACCAAAAAGCATGGTGCCGTATTCAGCATGGGCAGCTGTGGTAAACAGAAAAAAAACTTAGATTAAGGAATGACAAGAATGGATAAACAAGTACTGGAGTCTGGGCAGGAAGAATGCAAAATTAGTTTGTGTGTGTACATACCTAAGCAGATAAGTCATTGTCTCCAACCCAAAGAAGGCCATAGAGAGCTGGTGCTGGTTGGGGTAGGACTTTAAACCCAAGTCTTTAAAAACATGATCTCTATGTAAGTCAGTACACGTATGAGCTCTAACCATAATTTCCTCATAACGTGCACATGCGTGCACAGAGGGAGATCTGCTTACCCCTGTGGTAATTAGGAGTACTTTGACTCAGAATAAGTGCATTCTGACATGATTGACACAGGAAAGGATGGAAAACTACCACTGACAACTAACTAAACTTTTTCTTCCCAGCCTTTCCTGGTGCCGTCTTTTCAAGACTGATCCCTACCTTGAGAAAGAACACTTAAATTACAGCAAATTTTAAAATAGCTTTAACTTCTAAATTTTTTGTGTTGCTGAAGTGAAGGGGCTCGAACTCAGGGCCTTGCCTTTGCTAGCTAGGCAGGTGCTCTAGCACTCAACAGCATCCCTAGCCCCACAAAAAGCTTCCTAAACAACAGCGAATGGTAGGCAGGTGGGACTTCTGGCACTGAGGGCTGAGGAGGTGTAGAGGCAACAAAGACAGGTTGGAAAGACTAGAGAAAAGTCAGAGGCTGGATACAATCTCTGCAAAGACCAGGCCTGCGGGTGCTGGGTGCACACTTACTGTGCTGTTTCTGCTCCAGAAATAAAGCCATAGATTGCTTACTTTCCACTAGAAGTGAGTGGTGATTTTCCAGAATCCCAGCTGGATTCCTTACAAACGCTTGCACAGAACATGACAACTGCACAAGTTGGAAGTTGCATTTTTGGATTATTTTCTCCTCCCCCTCCCCCAAGACAGGGTTTCTCTCCGTTACAGAGTTCCATCCTGGAACTGGCTCTGTAGGCCAGACTGGCCTGCTGAGTGCCGAGATTAAAGGTGTGCACCCCCACTGTTTGGCTATGTTTCTGGATTATTTTCAAAACTGCCGAGGGAGCCGGCCTTCCATATACAGTGGTACACATTAGGTTGCTGTAAATAGTCCTTCCAGGGTCTCTACATTCTTCTAGCGCTTCCTAATTACAATCCAGAAGCCAGGATTGGCCACAGAACTATCAGGGTCAATCAAGTGATGAACTGATCACAGTGAAGGCTAAAAAATACTTTGCCTTGAATGGACTCCCAGCTGTAGTACAAGTTGTGATCCAAGATTTAATGCCTGGGCCCCAGTGTGAAACGAAGTGTCAGAATATTCATGTTCTGAGTCACAATGCTTCTCATAGCCACAGGGGTAAGCAAGTACATATGTGTGCACATGTAGCGTGTCATGTTAAGATCAAAGGCCCGATGTTTTGGCTGCAATAAGCACGAGAGACACTGTCATGCCTGTACATTACTAGCAGAGCGTTTTCTAAAGACAAGTTAGTTTTAATTATTGAAGAAACGTGATCAATATATTTCAGCCTTGTTTTCCTTCCACGTCAAGGAACTGGCACTCCTTTCCGCCATCTGCCCATCCCAGGTCACTCTCTGGAATGAGCTCCCCACCTCCCTTGAGGAATCCCCAGTGGTACTAAACAAGCTTCCTCCTGGGAGACACCAAGACACTCTCTTGTTCTTTTCAGACAGAGGATGTTGTGGCAGATAAAGGCAAAGGGAAGAAAGGGTGTTTTGCTGGCAGACTTCTATTTCTCGCACACCAGTTCCCAAATAGCCAACACAGAGACTCAATGTCACTTATAAATGCTAGGCCAATGACTCAGGCTGTTACTAGTTCACTCGTACATTTAAATTGGCTCTTAGCTATTCCTTACCATATTTCATATCCATGCTTTGCCTTTTCTCAGTACAGCATGCCCATCTCTCTGCGTCTGCTCTTGACTCATCTATGAACTTCCCATGTTACTTCTAACTGGATCGAGACTTCTCAGACCACGCGCCTTTTCTTCCCAGCATTCTCTCTGCCCCCCAAAAATCCTGCCTAGCTGTGGGGCCAATCAGC